GTAGTCAGTAAATAGAAAATACAAATTAAAACTACAAACATTAGTCAAACACCAGTTTGGCAAAAATTCCAAAACTTGACACTATCAAGTGTTGACAAAGTTATGCAACAATGGTACTCTCATTTACTGCTGGATGGAGTAAAAATTGGAACATCCACTTTGAGAAATAATTTGGCACCATAAAGCAGAGTTGAAGGTATGTATGCACTGACCCAACAATTCCGTGGGATACATACTGAGAAACTCTAGCAATTATGCATTGGGGAATGTGTGTAAGAATATTCATAACAGTACTTTTATCATAGAAGCCATCCAAAGTTTGCCAACAGCACAGTGAACTAACTGCTTGTTCATACAACAGATCCCTATTCAGAATTGAAGATGAATAAATAACACCTGTATGCATCAACAAAAGGATCCTCAGGAACATAATTTCGGGTGAAAAAAGGAAATTATAGAAGAATATGTATATATTTACATTTACGGGAAGTTCATAAAGGATTTTTTCTAGGTGTGGGAGTGTGGTAAAACTATAAGGGAATAACCAGGGAATGATAAACCAAAATTTGAGATAATGGCTAACTTTGCTTAGGGTGGAAAGGAGAAGTGTTCAGGATAAGACAAATAGAACTTTAATGGAAATGTTAAGGGCCTATTTCTTAAAAGAGGTAGTGGGCACACATTCATTGTATTATTGTTCTTTAAACTGTGCACATTTAAAAATATTATGTTGCATATACCCAATATTTAATAAAAATGACTTTTAAGAATCGGTGAAGCAGCAAATGAACAACAATATTTTATCCAAGACTTGTTGGAAGAAAAAAAGAGAATGCAATAACATGCCACTCATCAGGCACTGGCAGTCTTTCCTTCCAAGCATACCATGTTTATCTACTTCTCTCTGGTCCTCTTTGCTCACTCAATCCAAAACCAACAATTACCCAGAGCTACCAGTTGGCCCATGCTGGAGGGACATTTCATGATATTCATCAGAAGTAGTATCCAAGTTTTCTTCTGTTACCCCATCCTTCACTAAAATTCAGTCCCCTGCAGGTGTGAACAACAAGCATACTCCCCTGTTCACATGTGTGCATCCATACAACCATCTCCGCAGCCTGGCTAGGTTATTACTACATCCAAATATTTCTGAAGGCAACTACTACCTGACTCTTGACTTTGACTTATTTTCTAATATTTGTACACATTTCATAATCATATTAGAGCTCTGTAGTTAAGACAAAGCATCTCTCTATCCTCCTAACAGAAGCTAAAATCTAAAAAACCTCTTTGAAACACAGACATTTGTGTGTATTACAACTACAAGCATGTGGTAACAGCCCCTTAAACCAAGAGTAAAATTTCAAGTGCTTGGTGCAGACAGAGGTAGTGCAGCACTTGGAAAAAATAAACCTAGTTCCAAGGAAGTCTGACTGCTCACCTTGGTAGGTCATTAAAGATAAGAAAACACTTATCTCCCCTCATGCCCACCTGCTACTTAGTAGATGGGGAGGCAGAAAGTTTTGTTATATTTTCAGTATCATGAAATTTTAAAAAAGCTGCTTTCATATCAATTACTATAGTGAAGTCAGGTTCTCAGAAGCCCCAGTGGGAAAAATCTAGTGAAAAAAAAAATTCTTCTAAATAACCTACCTGGTAGAGTCCATCACTCTGTTGCCTGAAGTTTACGGAAGACTTTGTTAGTAGTTATAAAAATACAATCACTCACCTCAGCATATCGTGCTACTGAACTGGCTTCAACTGCATAGACTCTCCTAGCTCCAGCTTGTACAGCAAAAAATGACAGAATTCCTGATCCACAACCAACATCTAGAACAACCTGGAAAGAAAAGAAAAAGGGGATGGAAAAAACAGGTACTTGGCTGTTGCCAGCATGCCAACTTTGAGCATTGAGCTCAGACTTAATTAAAGTACTAGCTTTGATATTTATGAGTGATGTTACCTTGGCCAAGCTATGAATCTCTGCAAGACTACTTTTTCTCATATGTTAAATAGGGTTAATAATACCCACTTTTTAAGGGTTGCTGTAGGAGTTAAGTAATATGAAGTGCATACAAAGCACTTGGCACATAATCAATATCTTTCAAATTGTTGCTATGATTGTTACAGTTTCCTTGTAACATGGATTGCTTTTGGGATGTTTAGGGCCAAGAAAAGTAGAGTGTCATGAAGAGATTGCTTACCAAATCTGCCAGCATTAAATGAAAATGAAAATTCTCAAATAATTTTTAGAATGACATTTACATTCAGAAATAATTAAACATAAAGTCTTTAAAATTCCAAAAGAGAAGTATATGCTTTTCCTTCAGGTCCCCTCCACAAAGCTAGAACAGTTTATCCAGAAGGTTGGAAGGTATTAAGACAGTAGATGGACGAAATTTACAGAAACTTCTTTTCTCTGTGTTCAGATCTGGGACTTAAATCAAGGAAACCACCACTCATTGGCACAAAGGGGCCAACACTTGGGCTGACATGCTGAGAGGCAAGAGGCGGATGGTATGTATTTGGTTCCATTCCCCAAACACTGCTGAAGCCAAGGCCTGAATCTCAGGCTAATCATTGAAATTTCAGGTTACTATAATTTGTTTCATTAATGACTATTATTCTTAGCATCTTTTAGCATTGGCTTTGAGCAAAGCATTTGGTTTAGCTCTAAATCTTCATGATAAACATGAGTAGATAGCATTATTATGTTCTCTTTCTAGATGACAAAACTGAAAATCAGAAACACTGAACAACTAGCCCAAATTCACCTAGCAGTAAATAAGGCGGCTAAGAGTTGAAACTGGACATTTCTCTCTTTCAAGCTCACATTCCATAAGACCATACATTGCTTACTTAAAGTCAACCTTACCAATCTGGCATTTTAGCACAGCAATACCTATCAGCAATTTTTGACAAAGAAACATGTATTACTTACTGTAGGAAAATTTAGAAAAGTTTTTTTTCACTTTGATAGCAGGAAAAATCTTCCCCAAAATAGTAAATATCAAGAGGTTGTACATGCACGTGTGTGTTTTTTAATTGCAAATCACACTGTGCTGACACAGATACTGAGCTATTATTCTAAGAGAACATGCTGTTAGTAATGGGTTCACAGTGCTCACTTATATTAATTCTAGAACCATGACTGTATATCCATGTGGTTTCCCAGGGCTTGGGTAATTAGGAGCATTACCAATTTAAAATGTCACCCAGTCTCTGGAAATTGCTGTCTGGCTGCCTATATTTTTATTCAGTTCTCCTCATCCTCCCTAGGAAATATACATCTTCACCTGGCCCTTGTCCACTGCAAGAATACCCAAGACTGCTGTTTAGGGAGTGGAGGCCATTAAGTTGGAGAGTACAACCCATGGCCCAAAAAGAAAGATGCACCATGTCCCAAAGAAACTTTCCAGAACTTTCTTCAATTAAAAATATAACACCTTAGATTCCATGTTTTGTCCAAAATGTGGATGCAACATTAGGAGACTATAGAAACTGCATCTGCTTGCTCTGGTGATAGGTGCCCTAGAAATGCATGAATGGAGCTCTTTGTTTCTTTTATTAGGGTGTCCTGAAGCACATCTTAGAGCAGTGCTTTTTAGTCTCTTTGATCCTTCAGACTAAAAACTAAAAATGTTTTATTGCTAGGAGAGAGACAGAGTAAGAAGGGAACAGGGAGAAGGGGAAAATGGGAGGGAGCCTATATGGTCCAACTTTGCCAAATTAGTCTATTTGGTAGGATGAAGCTTTGACAGACCCAGACCGAATCTAGAAAAGAAAAATTACAAACTGAGGCAATTTTCCAAATACCTGATTTCGATACTAAATTTCAAGATAAAATAACCATATTCTTTTGGCTATTTCAAAACAGAGAAAAGGCCTTGAGAAAGAACCTAATCTTGTGGTAGCATTATCCAAATAATGCCAACTGCTTCCCACTTGTATGCACATTCATAAAGTTAACGAGTAAATTTTCAGGCTGGGGCAGGAAAGGGTGGTGAGGGAGAGGAACATTTTGTCTTGTCTATGTAAGGCATGCAATGTTGGGAAAACAAAGCTGTGGAGGGCTGGGAATAAATTCTCTGGTGAAAAATGAATGGTCAAAGCAAATATTTAGGCTCACATGGAAATATATTACCTCAGCCCTTTGCAGGTGGGGTTGCCAGGACTGGGAGAAGAGGACATCAATACACTTTCTCACATGGCACCTCAGGAAGTCTTGACGCTATCTCTAATCAAATTTTCTTTTCCTCACGAAGATTATATTGAGCCCATTTCTTATTCTACTATTGGTAGGCCATTACAGAACTGGGTATGTTTGAGGACCTTAGCAGACGTTAAGTTATAGATTTTGTCCCCAGTGAAAAATATCTCCCTTTGGGCAGAGGCAAAGAAAGTAGGAAAATCCCCTTGATCTGTATAGCTGCTTCCAGTTTCCAAAAAACATTCCCCCAACACTACTCGATCCTCAGGCATCCCTGGGATGAAGAGTATATGGTTTTGTCTCTATTTTAGTGATAAGGAAACAAGCTTAGAGAGACGTTTTCCAGCCAAAGGTGACATGGCTGAATGATGGAGCTGAGACGAGAATCCAGCACCCACCTCCCCACATCACTGTGGCCCTCTTTTCATGCAGCGAGTGATGTGATGAAAGTGCAGACTTTGAAGAGGCATAGATCTCATCATATACCCCCTGGGTTCCCTGCGGCTGGAGGGGGGCCTGGTTTCTCCGCGAGCCGTCTCTGGGCCGAGCGATCCACCAATGGCCAACTTTTCTGGCCTCCTTCGGTGATTCTCCTTCTTCCTCCCTCACACCCTAGGCTCAGCAGCTCTGTCCCTCTCCCTGATTCTAGCTGCTTCACGGCAGAGGCAGTGCAGAGCCTACCGATGGTTCGTGCTCTCTCAGCATCAACGTTTCAGGAAGCAGCTGTCCTGTCAGGACTACATTTTCCCATCCCCTTGCATCTCCACAGGACCATGTGACTATGTCTGGGCAATGGAATGAATGATGAGTGTCCCTTCTGTGCCAAGGGGGGTAAGGGTGCAGAGGAACTGCCCCACTCTCCTCCCCTTACACAGTGCCACTGGAAACCACCGGACGGGGTTGAAAAGAGCCTGAATCCCTGGGTCACCACTTAGGGAAGACCACTTGGAACACACTGCACATGGCAGGAGCAACAAGCAAATCTCTTATGTCAAAGCACTGATTTAGGGATTGTTATTTGTTTCAGTAGTTGGGATACACTGACCAAAACACTTCCCTTGGTTGAAAGCCCTCCTCTTGTCTTTCTACTGGGGAAACTCAAGACCCAGCTCATGCATGACATCTCAGGGGTGCTTTCCCTGACGTCCCCAGTTGATGCTGGAGTCTCTGGCCCCTTGCACATAGCTCTCTAATGAGGCTTGCTTTAGGGAGTTACAAGTATTTCTTGACATGCTTGTCTTCCTTGCTTAGCCCATCAGCTCCCCAAAGACAAGAATCCCATCATTTATCTCTCAGCACCTACCACAGTAATTTAATAATTAATAAATATTTATTGACTAAATGACCGAATGGGATTACTCAATATGACACTCTCCTAATTCTAACCTCACTTTGAAATATCTCTGGAAAAGGCTTATGACTTTTGCCAGCCATGTGGACCCCTGGGTGCCCTTGCATGCGGTCCTAAGAAACAAAGAGGATGACCTCAGGGTGACCTTGCCTTACTCAAGACATATCCTGTTTCATCCAACCTTGTCTTCTGCTTTCTGCCCAATTTCTCCTTTCTTGGCATCCAAGTCACCTCACAAACCTGAGAGTTTTTACTCTGTCTTCACAATCTCTGACTATGACCTACCTAAACATGTCCCTTGGGCCACTCTTCTGACTATCTGAAGCTGCCTCTGCCCTCACACAGGCCTTCTAGGAAGGTTCCATGCTTTCTGCCACAGGGCCTTAGTACATGCTGCTCCTTTACCTGGGTTACCCCCACTGCACACTCTATGACTTCAGTCTATGGTCATTTAAAAAAAATCTACTCAATGTCCATTGTGCTAGATCTTTTCTTTTTGCTTCTCTAGATGTATTCTCCACACTTCTCCATCCTTTTCTTTGTCAGGAGACCTGTATGGGCTGCACCAACGGGCTTCCTAGACATGGGACTCTACTTAGGATCAGTCAAGAGAAAAGACAACAGGAGGTCAAATGATTAATAAATCCTGGCTTCCTCCTTCCTGAGCCTCCATGGACTGGTTGTGTCCCCTCTATCAAAAGTCACATTTCTTACTGGGCTTCCATCTCTTACAGCCATGACCATTCTCTCAGGTTTCCGGGAACCAACCATGCCCATTGCCTCTTTAAGTCTAGGATGGTGACAGGTCCCCACTCTTGCTAATTCCAGGGTGCATCACCATTCTCTGTTGGTTCCCTTAACCCTGCCCAATTCTATGAAAGTAGTCCCATTACTTACCTCTCCTAAAACACCCAGTTGGGTGTACCATCTCTCAAGCAGGGACCCTGATGATACACAAAATCATCTTTCAGATCCCAAATAGTTCCCCCTACTCTTTGCTCCCCTCTCAACCTAAGTAAAATCCTCCTGCTGAATGCTTTCTTAGTAACACTTCTTCATAACACTCAGTACAGTTATAATTTTTCATTCAATAAGTGATTTGATTAATATCTGCTTCCACCTCTAGATTGTGAGTTTCATTAGGGGAGAGATTGCTATCTGTTTCTTGCTCATTATTGAATCTCTGATACAGCACGGGTTCTTGGCACATAGTAGAGACAAGTGAAACAGCCTCAATAAATAAAAGCATGTCTCACTACCACAAAGAGGGAAAAGAGTC